TGGGAGCTGAAGATACTGTAGGTATGAAGCTAACTTCTACTTCATTTTGATCTCAGGCAGCTACAGCTGTACCACATGGCTTCACAATTTCCTGGCAAGAGACACCATGGCAGAGGAAATATTTTACCAGGATATGGAAAAACTAAATTACACCAACATTTAAATTGTCACTATTTGTTGATTTGGGTTGAACTTGTTTATAATGTCAACCTACAGCCCTGTTGTGCTTTATTATTTTCATAATGCGTGAAATAACATAATGAGCTTACTCGGAGTCTGAAATGAAGCAAGTTGCATGAAGTTCAAGAAACCATGGATTATTCCCTACTGGCTAAAAAATTTGTAGAGTTGAAGTCCAAACATCTGGAAGGCATTAGGCTGCAGAATGATACTGAACAGTGCGTCTAAAAAATTACCTACCCGTGGATGTTTCTGCAGCTATTTCCTTTTCTTTCATTTTTATCATTCTTATTCTGTTATTTATCCATATAGTCAGTTATACCTTGGCAAGAGAAATGGATCATGGAGAGTGGACTAAAGGGGATAGAATTTCCATATGTTATTTCAATGCATAAATGCAAATGCAGACATAATGACTGTAACTGAAACAGAAATATCATGTATCTCTTAGTAAGGAAGAAGGCAAAGTCTAGGCAACTTCAGTGTCTGCTGAACCTAAATGCTAAAAGTTGATGGGCAACTTTGAAATCCCTTCTTATGGATCTGGAATTGAAAGACTATCAAACAGAAGTTGGTTCACTATACAATAGGACATGTTCTATCCAGATGATAGCAAGAACTCCAGTTCCAAACTCCATTTTTAGGAAAGCTTAGTTTGTCATTCTGAAATAGGATTAGTCTCAGTTGGGTGCCATGTCAAAAAGGTAACACTTTTTAAGAAAACTTTTAAAGCAGATTATAATACTTTATAGGGCAGATCTTGGACCTTATGTGAAAAGAAATACAACATCTCCACAAGTAGGAATAATTCTTACTCCAAGAACATTTACTTCCAATGACCAGTGAAGCAACTAAGATTCTAGTAAAGCTTATTATCAGGCAGTTTGAGATATTAATCACTTTGGGTTTCTGTCTGTTTCAGTGCTAACTAAATTTTAAGATTTATACCAGCTCTGCCAGTTATCTAGCTGTTCCTGTTAAAACAATGAATCTTTTTGAAGGCTAAGAGTTATGCAAAGCAAAAAAAATGTTTCATTGTGAATGTGGCTATACCCAGGAAGAAGATATAATACACTGTTGTCATTTTTAAAAATATTAATCTTTGAGGAAAGAGATTGATATCATTCCTGCTTTCTTTAGTTTGCCACCATTTATGCATGCTGCTATTTTTAACATTAATGTTTATTTTTAAAGAGTTTATTAGGTAGCCATATTTACCTGTGCTGCTGAAAAAATGAAAAATGATATTCTTGCTATCTGAAAAATATGCAAAATCAATGCATCTGTTATGTCACACCAAGCCCACCAGATGGCATAAAGGAAGGAAGGAAGGAAGGATCATTTGAAGCAAATTTGTGCAGTCTAAGGCATTATTTGTTATTCATATTCACAAGTTAACACTGGAAGTCATTCTTTGGTTCAAAACACAGCATTCAATTGCACTCTACATGAATTATGAAACCGTTACATGAAAAAACACTTTAATTCACCTATTAGGAACAGTTCAAATTATTTAATTGGCTTACATTAACTTGATCCATAATTTACAGTGCGATGGATCATACACAACGTATTGCTGTGGCCAACAGCAGGTGAAAAGATTAACAGCATAGTACTAAACATCCAGAACTAGAGGCAGTAATTCATATCACTTTTTCAAGATACAGAGGCCTTTTATACCATCAATTTCCTTTTTCATCAGTGCATTTTGTGTCCAACAATGTGGTAAGTGCATTATTTTGTGCTTTGTTGTTTTTTTTCTCCTAACGGCTTTATAGGCAAAAGGGTTAGTATTGCTTTTTGTAACTGTTTAAAAATAGTAAGGAAGCTGCTCGTGGCACTAACAAGGCCTGTGTGATTTTGGCAAAAATGAAATTGAACTCCATGTACTGAACAGCCAGCTCAAGACTCTCTTCTATTCTTGACATCTGGGCTCACGGGATCCTTGTAGTTTGAGATTCAGTAGAGTTTTATACTTACCACATACCTGATGTCCTGGCATCTCTGTCTTGTACATGCAGCACACTTAAAGCCTATTCAGTTTGTGGGCCTTGGGTTCTAGTTGATGATGATGGGCAAAAAAAAAAATTCTCTGGGGCCATATGTTTCACTTGTGAAGTTTGGCACCAATCTCCTAGAACAGATTTCCATGAACTACAAATGGACAATATGAAAAATCCGATGTAAACATATGTAGGGGAAAATCCAAAGAAAAATAGTGAATAGCTAGTGAGAAAAAGCTAAATACATAGTGGTGCAGACTGTGAAATCAGAAAATGCTCTGTATTCTAAACAATGTACAACAGGAATTGTGGAATGCAAAAATTTCATCTAAGACGGTAGATTGTATTTCCACTAAGCTATGAGATGCTCTGAATTCAGTGACAGGGCATGGTTACATTTTATTTAGGTCTAAGTGGCATGTCTTTTTCTTAATTCAAAACACTACAAAACAGAATCCAGCAGAATGGCTTTTCTTAAAAACAGCAGCCTCGTTTCACCATGAAACCTATGTACATGTTATGCTGCAATCACAGAACTTGAAACTGGAGCAGAATTTCTGTATTAAAAATCTTAGGTTTTGTTTTCTCCCCCCAGAAGAAATAAGGACATTTCTAGTCCTTAGTGTGCAAAGGCAGATTTAAAAGTCCTTGTAAGTAATGCCAGATAAAAACCACAGAAATTAGAGTAGATTAAAAACTCCCTCTCTCTCCTCCCCGCCCCCCTTCCCCCCC